TCTGATGTTTTTGTCTGCTGCTATAGTGCTCAATGGCCTGAATAATGAATAAAAGGTCATCCATGCTACATCATATCATTTCCTTTAACGATGGAGAATGAGAAGCAACGCCGTCAAAGCTTTCCTCTTTGATTCCATTTTCCCATTAACAAAACCAGCCACAGTGAATGGTAACCACTGCACAACCTGCAGATATTCACTGTGTCACCAAGCATTGCCTATTTCACAAGGACAATCAAATCAGTTTCTCTGCAACTTTCTGGTCAAACCCAGAAAACATGGCAGTGTCTGTCTAATAGGTGGAGAAGCACCCTTAAATGCTTGGATACTTTCGAAAATGTTTTGCAGAAATGTAAAATATATGTGTGTGGTTAATGGCTGTAAAAAAAAATCTAAAGCCATCAGTGTGGTCCTTTTTTAAGACGTCATGTTGCGTACTCCCGAGAGTCAGCAGCCTCCGTGATGATCTAGTAATGTGTCAGTAAATGTCAATCGTGAGTCACCCATGTGAAATGGGCTTGCTAAATGAAAAACCGCAATCGTTCTTGTATTCATTTTACGTGTTCTACTCGACGACTGTATCTCCAGTGCAAATTACTGTATTTCTGTTTTCAGTGGATATGTAGAGTCGGCACTGACAGAGAGACAGATTTACCCAACCACTTCTCAGAAAACACATCAATATTTGTCGGGAGTCTGGTTTCAGGGATTTCATTTATTCCACTTTTATCTGGTGATAGGTTGTAAATGACTACCTTACAAGTTGGTGACATGTGATCCAAGAATAAAAATGGATGCATAAAGGACGTGTGAGTGCAATTTATATTTACTCTTCAACCTGTCACTCTTTACCCATTTGCTCTCTACAGCTATCAAGTCCCTCCTTTTGCTCCACTCTCCTTCTTGTATGTCTCTCGTTCCCCTCTTTCCCGCTGTCTTCCACCCTGGCTGATGTCTGTGTTGTCACTCTACCTTAATGTGTTGAACGAGAGGTTTGGAATCGAAGCGTGACAGGAGCATGGATCCATGTTTCCATTTTTAGCCGGGGGTCAGGGCCAGATCACACCTTCTCGTGTTTGCTTCGCACTGGCGCTCCGCGGGGTCTCTTATGTAAAACACAGTGGGTGTGTTTGTGCATGTGGGCGTGTGTGTTAGTGTTTGTGGGACAGAGAAAGATGACATCTCTGTTGCTTTGCGCGTGTGTGCAAAAATAATAGTGTGAAACCACTCTGCTGTTTATTTTTTTATCTGCATAGGTAGAGGTGGTCACTCTGTGGAGGTCTTCATTATTACAGTCTGATCATCAGGGATTCTTACTAGGGCACTGTTGCTCTGACCTTGTTATTACTGGCTGTGTGTAATCATGGCAAATAAATGGCTCCTGGTAATAGTTATATTCAACACATGGAGTACAAAATGAAAAATGAAAAAAACGGAAGGTTGCACTGGATAACCTTCATGCAGTTGTAACTGAGGGAAATGTGCTTTACGTAGGAGCCACAGCGCAAAGTGACGTCAATTCAAAATGGGTGGGGCTGAAAGATAACCTCTAGTCTTTTTTTCTCTCTACTGTTCTCTTTATTTTCAATTCAAAGTTATTATGGTTATAAAATAAAGCTTTTTGAGCTGTTGAGCTTAATAAAAGTCAGTTAAACCCATCATCTTAGCTAAATTTATACATTTTATCCAAAAGATGTATATCTGTAACATCGACTCCTTTGGACTCTCGGACTCTCGGGCTCTCCGTCACCTCAATGCTCAGCACGGTGAAGATGATTTGCCATTGGTCAAAGGTACGAATTTGCACATCAAAGTTCACCAAAGCAGAACTCTTTGCTCGAGGAGGTGAAATTAATCCAAACACACGTTCCACAAAGTCCATTGAAATTAATTTATTTCTGGTGTGACCAGCTCAATATTTGAATTATTTTCTGTGCCTTAGAAACTGTAAATCTTTCCTCCAACCAAACCAAACCCATCTGAACTGAACTCATTAAATTAAACTACAGTGAGGAAACTAATTGGTAAAATCATCATCAGGGTCTCGCTGGATGTAGTATGAGACAGCTTCCTAAAAAAAGCTTTGAGTACCAACAACCCTTCAGTTAATCCTCAGAATCTAAAGGCACACAATGGCTTCATAATTGTAGCATTTTTCCATTTTCTCCCTTTCAGTGCATCAGCAGCAGTTCACTGCAGCTCCCAGAAGGCCAAGTAATTGGACCAAATCCATTCCTGACTCACCTCTGACCCCCTCACACACCCTCTTATTAAAGCCATTTCCCAGTGTGAACAGAATTGCCACTGTTTAATGAAAGATCTTATCTTTTTCTCCCACTCACAGCTGTTATGGGCGAGGGGGTCTTTTAAGAAGGTCTTACGTCTTCAAAAACCAAACTTAAAAGCAATAAAAATATCAATTTTTTACTTTTTATCAGACATCTGGAACCACGTTGGAGCTCAGTTTCATTCAGGTCCTCCTTGACTGCCTAGGAGTGTTTTTTTGTCACTTTGGGATGTGTGTTAATAGTCGACAAGTTGTGGGTGTTTCAGACTGAGAGGTGTCACTTTCAATCAGGGGTGACAACTTAAACCTGTCCTGTCCAAGCTTGCGTTGCTGAAAAAAAAAAAATATATATTATCAATATCATAGAGAAAAAATGCCCCCAAATGCCAATTTTAACTAAGGAAAGAAGTTTTTTCACTTTTTGCCACCACAATTAAAATGATGTAACTTCTGCATTTGCAACATAAGACACACATCATTGTCATTCAGATTGCTTCCACTCACAAAGAAATAAGCCGGCTCATTAAAGTGCACATTTTTTAGCAGTAAAAAACAAACTGAACACTTCGTGTACCACAGTGCTCTGTGTGTATCCATTATAATGATGCATTCTCGTCTAGGGGAATATTTCCATGAGACTACTGAGCAGCAACAGTTCTTTGCGCATTGATCTCTTGTACCAAAATTTCAGTCTGTCTCCAACTATTTTTCCCTTGACAATGTGAGACGAGCAGAAAGGAACGCTCTTAAGCAAAACTGACGCTGTGTTTGCAGATCTGCGAGGAGATGCAAGGAAATGGCACAAGCAGAAATGAAACTGCACACCAGAATATTTTCAAGGCCTTGTCTTTTCTCCTGCTGACAGCCATTGAGTCACCTGTTACTAAAATAACAACTTAACACTTTTCACAAGAGGACTGAGAGTATACAAGGGTGCGGAGGATAGATTATGACAGTTATCATAAATTAGACAGGCTCAAGATGCTTTTAACACTTCTTGGCACAGCGGTCAGAAAAGGATCATTTTGTTTCTGCAGGCTGGTTTTCTCAGTAGTTTTTAAGTTAGAACGTTTGTGTGTGTGTGTGTGTGTGTGTGTGTGTGTGTGTGTGTGTGTGTGTGTGTGTGTGTGTGTGTGCCAAGTAAGGCCAAGTAAGTGTAACTTTTAGCACCTGTGCCAGTGTAGGTCAAGCTTTTAAAACCAGAATTTCATGCCAATCTCATTTCTTTTTCTGTTCTCGCTCTGTCTGACTGGATAGCATGGCAGAAAAGTAAAGAGTTGTTATGCAAATCCCTCAATTGAATGTCTTTGTTTTGGGCAAGAGAGAGAGCAAGAGAGAGTTAACAATTCTTTTGAAGAGATGAAAAGCAGAATGCTAATTCTGAGTTGCCTGTAGAGACACAGAGAGGCAGACAATGCTGGAGACTTTTTTTAAATTTTGGCTTTTTCTTTAATGAGTATTACCTTCTTTGTATTTGTGTCGCATTCTCTAAGGGATTTTATATGCTGAATGTGTTTATATACAGCTTGTTTGCATGTGTACGTATCTCTAGGTGAGAATGTGTTTTTTTCCCCTCCGTTCAAGCACATAATTTACATAATCACACTTTAAATAGAGTCCTTACAGGAGTATGGTACGCGTTTGTGTGGCCATCACATGTGCACTTTTTTCAGTTTTTTTCCCCGCTAGCATAGTTACATCAAATTATAATTGAAGTGGGAAATGGACCCCATGCAGGTGTCTGTATTGTTGACCGCATCCTGTTTAGTGCCTTGTTGATGATGATTGGAGGTAATCTGCCTACGTGGAGCAACATGGTGCCAGAGTTGGAAGTATAATTATACTGTATGAGAACAGACGGTTGGGGGGGTGCATTGGAAGTGAGTGGTGAGACTATTTATAGCTGATCATTAACCATCTCTAGATGAGTGGCTGGTACTCAAGTTGAGAGGCTGTGATTGGTGGATGAGTGGTTGGCTCTTAAGAAGAGAGGTTGCGGTTGGTTTGTTGACTTGTCTTGTTCTCTGACTAATTATCTTATATGGTATATTCATTTTTCAGAATGTTGTTTTGTATTAATACTACAAACTTTTTTTATTTAGCAAGGAAAAATCTGGTTAACTACAAGTTTGATTTTGTTATTGTAGTTTTGGCTGTAGTTTTTATCAGTTATGATAACATTATACTACTAATTGCCATAGGGAAACATGCTTATTTCCATTTTTGTGGCGAGTTAGATGAGAAGGTCGATACCACTCTCATGTCTGTCTGTGAAGCCACAGCCGGTTAGCTGAGCTAAGCATAAAGACTGGAAACAGGGGAAACAGCAAAAGCAGAAGTTTAAAACCAACAATATGCTGTTTTAAGGGGGCTTGTGGCCATGAGGAGCAGTAACTTCCTCGAGTCTCCGCTGTTTGCCAAGCAACTGCTCCTGGGCAAGAAATAGTCCAGTACATAACACCCCGTAAAGCTACATCATTGCTTTACATGCATCAGATTGGTATTGATCTTCTCATCTAACTCAAGAACGTGAATAAGCAAATTTCCCAAATTTTCGAACTTTTCCTTTAAATACTAATGCTAACCTAACAATAAAGAAAGACGTTCGAACTTTTGCTATTGTTGGGCTCCTTATCCTGTACAAAAAAGGTTTTCTAGTATTTTTAATGTCGCAACAGATGCTCATTAATTCCCTCATGTTTGTGTCCCACAGGTATTACAGTGCCACCATCCTGCAGATGTCAGGAGTGCGGGACGACAGGCTGGCGATTTGGCTGGCCGGACTCACCACCTTCACTAACTTCCTGTTCACCCTGCTGGGAGTGTGGCTGGTGGAGAGAGTGGGACGCAGGAAGCTCACCTTGGGCAGTCTCATAGGTCAGTCACTCAAAATGTCAGCATCGGATAGCGACGTCGACAGGCCCTCCTCAGTTTTTTTCATGTGTATAATTTCTTTGTCAGGTACATGTTTGAGTTTGAGTCTGTTGGCCATCGGTTTTCTGATGTCTGCCGAGCACAGTCCTCCTGTCACCTTCCACCCATTAGACCCATCTATGGCCAACTCTACCTGCTCCAAATACCAGTAAGTACATTCCATGTTTGGTTCCAAGCTACCTGCTGCTGGGGAAAAATGGCTCCTTTACTATGAAACAATGGCCCTTTATCATCGCCCTTTATTACCAACCATAAGCAAAAAATACTGGGCAGTTACAGCACAGTTATCCCACATATCCTCATGTTACGATCCAAATAAGAGCTGTTCAGAACCAGAAATTGATTGGTTTGAGCCCTGGAATTACTCCCACTGCAGATTGCCATCCCAAAGATATAAAGAAAAAAAAAAAGCTTTAAAATGGTGTATCTATTGAACCATTTAACATTCAGGTGTCTTCGTAGGATTGAGCTGCATGCATTTGAGATGTGTATTTAATAATTTTATAAGCATACCAAAGGAACTGCTCAGAGGAGTTAGAGAGTACTCCACCAGCTCTTCGCTGTGGTTGATATTAAGTGTCATTATTCACATTTCTTCACATTATGTGCAGGTATAGATGAAAACAGAGAGCCACGGCGAGACCACTATTCACCTTAGAGCCCTCCTGCTTTTTGTAAAAGCACTTTTGCGATGTCAGAATACCAATCCAGGAGCGCAGGAGAGTACACTCAGTGGTGGAGAGCTTCAGATGATGAAACCCTTCTAAAAAGACATTTGTTTTGAAGTTATTGCAGGTTTTCACACATACATTAATACAGATCTCTGTATTTTTCAGCACTCAGACTCGAGGTCAAAATCAGTGCCTGCATATATATGCAACAGGAAGATCTGTCTGTATATTTATGTCTTATTGACATTTATTGTGTTTCCTCTGACTGGTTTATTAATAACTGTATAAAATGATGGAACGTCATTTTTAAGATGCTGTGTAAATGTTGTTCCTGTCTATATGATGTTTCTCCCGAACCTTACGACTAAATTACAATTCCCTTCATTGTCTCTATTGGCAACAAAAAGCAAACAAACAAACACACACACACACACACAGAGAGAACCTGAGTGTGTTTTCATGTGAGCCAGAGATCAGATGCCTCTATGTCCCAATTTACTCTCACTTACACAGACACAAGATGAAACTCATGTGTAACGACAGTCTTTCATCATAGCAACAAACAGCGCCTAATGGACTCGCTGTCCAGCACCCACACACTGTAACGCACGTACACACACAAAAACACAAACACAGAGGTAATTTGAAGAGATGAGTGCTTTTACCACACTGTAGTGGCTTCATTGAGTTCACTTTACTCCGTATGAGACCCACACATCCCATCGCTGACCACCACGACAGTCCTAGGAGCACCAGAGCCACCACAGGCCTCTCACACTCATTGTGGATGGGACGTCCCATGAAAGGATGTATTGTTAAGGTGTCTCCAGTAGGTTTTGACTGTAGGATACTTGCATGGGGAACACACACAATCTCTTGGAATTTTGGAATCTCTTGATTTCCACTCCTGCATAGCACATATGCCATTTTATAGTGATATTGTTTAGATTTACTTCTTTAAATTCATAGTAATTTGTCAGTGGGTCTCAGACAGAGGTAAACCGAAGCAGGGTCCTAATCTGTTGCCAGTGACCATCAATTTTGCCAGCTGAGACGTCAGCTTCCATTAGAAGCTTTGGCCAGTTAAGGTAACGTTATTTTCATGAGTTGGTTGAAAGCACGTCTTCCACAGACTGTTCAATGTTTCCAACTGACTCATTTAAAAGCCTGTAAAAATGGCTCTTAAATATGCAATTGATGGATACATGCAGGACAAAGTCAAAGTCATCACCAGTTGATAATTCATGTAGGTTCTACACCTACATGAAGAACGACAAGAAGGTAGCAGCATTGTTCTTGTTTTGCAGGGTGGAGCAGGACACAGCTGCTAATGTTACCCTAAATATAGTAGCATCCAGAATCAGCTTCCACACAGCGGTAAAATTGTACATAGTGCTGCTTCAATAAGTGCACACATAATTCCATTCCTTTCATTTTATTCTCATGTTTTTGGAGAGAAAAACAAGTGTAATTAGTAAAAGGTTCCACAGAATAATAGATTGCAGATGGTTATGATTATGGATAGATGTGAATCTATAATCAGGAAAAACACTCCATAGCTTTGATAATTACATAATTTATGATAGTTATCAAAAGAACAAAATTGTACATATTTTCAAATGTCATCATTTGAATCTTAGCTAAAGCTAAGCTGTTGCACATCCTCACCTTCCCAGAGTATTCACTTTTGCTTCCCTCTGGTGCTAATATGTGGTTTTATTTTAGCCTAGCTGACCTCACTGTGTAATTAGAGCAAGGTGCCCTGCACACAGGGAGTCTGCTGGCTGCGAAAATAGACCTCTGAAACAAAACACATGTTTCATGCACTTATCAGGCACTCCAGCAACAAACCTGATGACACTGCATGGACAACATGGTGTGCTCTTGTGAAAATTAAATTTGTGAGTAAGTCAGTGCTTTAAATCGTTTACATGTGCACCGCTAATCACATAATGGCACATGACGAGATGTACTTTTAATAAATATGACAGGATAAGACGGGATAAAGATGTACTGATGATGAATCATTTTGATTTATTACTTCCTGTGTGGGGGGAACAGTCCATACATTAATTTAATTTGGGTAATGAGGCAAGTCTCAATTATAGTCTTAATTAGAGGGGGTAGAATGCTGTTTTCTGTTATAGTCACATCTTGTGAAGTAGTATAGGCAGATAAGTGTATTTTTTCGTCAGAGTGCAGCACCAACTCCATAGTAGCCTACACCTTTAAAATGTGCTTATATTCGAGGTCAATGTACAATCACACTGCATGCGTTAACTTTTCATTGTTGTCTTTGCTGATTGTATTCTGTAGCGAAACTATAGTTAATAATGCCATTTGGCTTGCAGGCTGTGTGAGCCATGCATGCTGGACCCTGGATGTGGTTTCTGTTACCGTGAGAATGGCTCGGCGCTCCTCACCTCCTCCTGCGTGCCAGTCAATAAGGCCTCCACAGAGCAAGCAGCATGGGGCAGGTGAGTCACAGGATGCTATGAGTATGTGCGTGTGTTTAGGATGAAGCGGTGGGGGGGTTAGGGTTATATTTAGAGCTTTGGTCAAATCCAACCGCTTAATGTTTAAGTGATACTTTCACTTTGAATTGAGATCCAATGTCAAGAGTGACTAACAAAAGCCAGTGAATGTGAAACGTGCACCGCCCTCTTTTCAGATGCTCCAACTCCAGCCTGATGAGAGATCAGACCTACTGGGCCTACAATTACTGTCCCACCTCCTTCTCCTGGCTGGTTTTGCTGGGTCTGGTGCTCTACCTGGCTGCTTTTGCTCCTGGTAAGAGATTGAACCTGCATTGTTTACTGTCTCTACACTGTATGTGATTCAGCTTTTGTGATCATCTAAGAGTTTACAGTTTTAGTGTTTGGTAATCTAAAATCAGGTTTTGTTCATTTTAACACTAAATGTTATGTTGTGTTAGTGTAATACAATATGGAAGTTGAGATGGGAGGTTCTTTCTTGACCTTGGAGAGAACAGTCTCACCACAGGGTCCATTAACAAGCTGTTGTGGAGCTTTCAATCATCTCACACAATCTAGCAAATTGACTTTTCCCTGTTGCCATGCAAATGTTGATGTTTTTATTTTCATTAACACTACAAGAATTTCTGGACCATGTTGGCCTAAACATTGAAATGTAAAGTTCATGCTTGATCTTAGAGACAGCAGCACTTTATGGACTTCTCTGAGAAAAATGGAAAGTGGAACAATTTGATCTCCAACTAGAAAAACTTCATCTGCTGAAGAAGATTTTCATACGACTGAATGATCCAGAGCAGCTACTGGATGGGCCTTGTGGTGACATTTTGGCAGATGTTAGCATTTAGCTCAAACCACCCCTGTGCCTTGGTACATCCTCACAGGGGCCCCAGCAAGGCTGTCTTTTATTGTTATTTTAATATTTTTTATTGTTGTTATGATGCATCTTAATCAATGTAAGAGTAACCCAATACAAACTTTACCTCTCCTTTCTAACCTGAATGCGGCAGATGGTTTATCACACAGAACCACCTAATAAATACTTTATTGTCACTGCCTGTCACCAACTATCACGGGCAAACTTCAACCAATCAGATCAATGAACCATATAACATAGACAAACTCTTACTGAGTCAGTCGGGAGAAGAGCAATCAAGAAAATCCTTTAGGGACGTTTTTTTACTCTTCTTTCAATGGAGAAATACTCCAGTTCTGATATAAAGGATTCTAGCAGCATCTATGGGGCCTGCAGTTTAATGAACAGTGTCTTATTGCTTTGTTTCACCTATTGCCCATTGGTACCCCCGGTAGCTGCCAGTACTTCCTCAAAGGACGTTGATTGGTCCATCGGTACCACTGTAGTGGCCACAAGCGCATACTGTAGATTGGAGCCCGGCAAGATGGATTCTCGCATGATCTTGTGATCTGGCAAATCCAGCTGCCTCACAAGGTTGTCTCCTTCTCCTCGTAAAGTAATCTCTCACCTCTCTCGCAGGAATGAGTCCCATGCCATGGACCATCAACTCAGAGATCTACCCTCTGTGGGCGAGGAGCACAGGGAACGCCTGTGCTGCCGGAGTCAACTGGACCTTCAACATCCTGGTGTCGCTCACCTTCCTCCATCTGGCTCAGGTCTTCACCTACTACGGTCAGTTGTTGTCATCATTTTGAGCAAGCCAATTACCTTTATCGGTTTTAAGTAGGGAAACTTAATCAGACTAAAACACTCACTGGCAGGAACAATTACTATCAGCCATCAATGCTGCCAGTCCTCATCCAATTATGCCAACCCTTACACAACCCCTTCAGCAGATCTTGTGTAACACGCATTCATCCTTAACTTGCGTCAAGACCTGCAAGGAGGTAACAGCTGACTGGTTCCCCTCCGAGGTGTTGCCAACCTTTTTTTTTTCCCCGCAACCTTCTTCCATACCTCCTCAGTCAGTGTGGCTCAACAGCAGGTTTCTCCTCAGACAGGAAGGAACTGACCTTTCGTGGGAGTTAGCGATCGATCCATCGGGGGTGATTGTGGAGGCATCCTGAGAGGCAGCGGGTTAATGATTGTCACTTCATCCATTCATCCGGTTTATGAGAATCATTCGCCGAGAACTAACGACATAATGATGTTGTCCTAGAAATGGTGATGGTATTTAGCATAATGCACACTTGGTTGTTGCTTCAAAATGTCATTCTGCTTTGACAAGGAGAAAATAGAGATCACAGTGGCCAAGAAATCTCATTACGCCTCTGTCACTGCGTAACTGTGAATGCTTGTTTCTAGGTGCGTTAGTATTGCCTTCTTGTGTTAGCCCTGCTGTAATGCCACTTTGACAGGGGCATGTTACTTTGAAGTTATCGTATTTCAGTGCCCGTGCTTAGTGATGGTGTGGTCTTTTGTTTTTTCGCCTTCCTAGGAGCGTTCTTCCTTTACTCCAGCATGGCTTTGCTGGGTTTCTTCTTCGTCTATGGCTGCCTGCCTGAGACCAAAGGCCGGCGTCTGGAGGAGATCGAAGCGCTGTTTGAAAACCAGCTTTGTTCCTGCGGCGCCTCTGATTCAGACGAGGGACGGCAGGTCGAATACATCCGAGTCAAAGGTTCAAACTACCATTTATCGGACAACGACGCGTCTGACGTGGACTAGGGGGAGCTTGAGTGCTGGCAACCTCCCTCTGGGTGTTTTGTTCGCTTTGGCAATAACTGAAACACGCAGAGAGGTTGGGTCTGTAATATTTTTATTTTTCTGTGTGTGAGCTGAGGAGCCACTGGTTACTCTAACTATGAGGTTAAGAATCACAGTTTAAAAAGGCCTTTTGCTTGTATCAGTAATGTGAGTGAGTTTACTTTCAAGTCAGTCAATTCAGGAAGACAAAATCAATGCTTTAGCAGTTAGCAGAAGGGTTACGTTTATTATTGTCCGAATTGATGGTGAACTGACGCCAAATCTGGAGTTAAACCTGCTTTAGTAGATAGCTGAATTTACCACCATGCACCACAAATGTCTCAATTACGAAAGGCTAAAACATTGCCTTTTCCACATAACAGACAGAGGTTCTGTGTCTTTTTCGTGGAAACATGACTGTTGAAAACACACTGCATGTACAAAATATAAGGGACACTTCTGCTGATGATGATGTACTTTGCAAAAGAGGCTGCAGTTCAGTGCCAGTGAGACATCCCTAATATTTTGTACATTTTCTGAATAAATATCATTTAGGATTTATTTATATATGATGTACATACGGTATGAGAAGGAAAACATGACACAGCCAACCTACAGCATTATGTCAGAACATGTTTCCATTGAGAACTCCATTTAAAAAGGTACAGTAAATGTGGTTCATGCACCCACAAAACTTTTGTTAATAGGACAGCAGTTGTGACTTATTGTTGTATTACCATTATGCCTTTCTATATGACACACATCTCAGTCACATGTTTGCTTGTAGCATAGCACACCAATGTCAGTTCCTCATCTGATGACAGTCTTAGTTCGAGGTCATTCTGATATTTTTTTATGAAAAGCAAACACCAGAGATGTACAGTATATTGTTCAAGTTTAGAAAACTTGTATTGTAAGTTGGTGCCTAAACAAACACAATCACCAATCTAGTAGCACTGAAAGGATATATAAGTTCTGTTACTATGGTTTATTTTTGACCTATTTATTTAAATATTATTTCTCATTCAGCTTTGCAACAAATTACTAAATGCTTTTCTGTTTTTGTTTTCAATTCTGTTGCTTGCCTGCCTCTAAAAAATGGCAGTTTTTAACATAATACTATGGAGAGTACAGTCTTATGTCATTCTACACTGCACGTTATAAAGCTACGTATGTCATTGCTGATTGTTATTGCTGGATATTATAATGTCCAGCAAAGAAAGTGGTAGGCTAAAACCATTGTATTTCAAGTATTTTCATTCTATCTTTAACATGATAATATTAGTGCCTGTGTATTGTGAAGGTGCCTAAAGGCCGGTTTTAAGTCCAAAACCCTGAAGTGGATGTATTATACCATGTTATAATTAGGTCTACATAGCTTGTTTTTTTTTATTTGACCTGTACATATTTGCATTTCACCTGTGATGGAAAACTATATTTTTTACTATCATTTCATGTATTTTGATTTCCGTCTTCCTCCATAGCCTTATGTACAAATAGCAGAGCATATCATTTATGTGGTTCTTGTGTCAAATGTCGAGAAGTAGGCTTTAGCGTAATTTACCAGTGTTGTTTTGTAAAAAATTGTAAAACTGTGTGAGGTTACACCTTGTTAGTCAAATACACATAGGTTTCTGTGTAGCAAAAACTGTTTGAGAGTAGCTTACGGAGTAACTTTGTGTAACAAAACAAAACAGGTAAATAAGGCGTTAACAAGCTGCGCCGTTACTGTGTACAGGTTCCTTGTGGCAGACAGTGCCAAGTGCAGGACTGTCCGTATGTTTTTGGCACGTAGGTCCTAACCCGTCATGAATTAATAAGATACAATACCTCTTTTTAATACACCTTTCAAATAAGAAGCTGTTCATCAAATGCCATGCCACACAATGTAGTGACATTTTCAGTGACCCGTCAAAGTTGAATAAAGTATTTGCATCAAGTATTGTGATATTTTTGGTATTGTCAAGCTGTCACATTTACACATGGATACCTGTGGAAATGGTTAATCAGAATAATGGTTTCCATTCATGTTAATAAGCAATGAAAATCAACTTGACTTTAACCTTGCTTGAAATAGGCACTGGGTGATTGTGAAAATCTAAAATAACGCAGCACTAAATTACAAATACGTGTGAAAATGATCAGCAACAAAGTAAAGCATGAATGATTTGTAATTATGGGACTAAAACATGCAGAATCTCCTGTGTGGTTCAAATGAATCCGACAGACTACGTCATTTTTGGAAACCAGTTTTCTACATTGTGAATTGTAGTTGGGTTAAAAGTAAAAACTCTGTCCTTCAATTTCCTAAAAAAGATTAACCTTTTCATCCAACGGGATACTCGTTTAAAGGTGGAGAAAAACAGCTTGACTTTAATTCAAAATGTGAAGGTATTGTTTTATCTGTTAGATTTCCATTTGGTCCAGGATGGAACCACGAAAACTAGTTTTGTACTCAAAAGTATTATTACCGGTACGCACACAGACGAAGCTCCATAACACAGACTGTGTAATGAAACTTGTGTTGACCAAATATTTAGCGTGATTGTTTGAGGCTGCACCTCGTCAAAGATCATGTGGCGTTCAGCCGTTAACATCCACTCGTGCTAACACCGTCCTCTGCCACAGCGGGGACGTTTAATGTGTACTTATGGTGAAATGGTTACAATTTTTTTCAATGTGAACCAACTACGTGTGTTTCTACAGTTTATGAGGAATTACAAAAATACGAATGAAAAAAAAAAAGTGCTGTATAGTATATTTGATTAATGTTCAAGCTGTAAATGTTTTGCTAGAGTTTATATTCTATAAAAAATAAATATCTTCATGAAATCTTAACACTTGAATATGTATATGGCGAAAGAAATAAACTTATGAATCAGAGTAAAGCTTTGGGGCTTTATTTCATAACACTTTGAACAAACACTATCCTTATTTTATGTGGTTTATATATGCTTAAAAACAAACTATTAAATGCTTTGAATTTGAAAACACACCCAGAACACGTATGTTTTTATATTTCCTGCTGCCTTCATCCATCTTCCTTCCTTCCTTCCTTCCTTCCCATCCCTACTTCTCCCTACTTCTCCTTCTGTTTGAGCAGGAGCAAAATGTCAGCTATTTCCTGAAGTGTTTCAGCCTCTTGTGAGAGTCTGTTAACTCTGGTGACAGATGTGACCTCCTCCCTCACTCGGTTGGAGAGGCCTTTCATCAGACAGCCATTTTCTTGTTGCCCTCTCTCATCTCTGCCCTCTCCAATCAGAAACAAGAGCAGAACATGGTTATTCAACACAATTCCCATGCTCATATCTTGTCTTTGTCGGTGCAGTCAGTTTAAATATGTAAATATGAATTATAAGTTCCTCAATTTGCACATTAATTAATTAAAAACAATCTTTCATATTCCTGTTATACCTCTGCTGTCGGTCATGCTCAGGGCATCTAGAAAAGGGGTTATGGGTCTCTGTAGGATCACTTTGCCATCTCTGTTGTCAGCGGTGAGTTCTTTTATAATACCGCTGCCTGATAGGGAACCAGCCTTGGATATGTTCTTGCTCCAGGGCGTGTGCCTCCCTCCACTCCTGGCCTGGCTGGATGAAGGTGTGTGTGTATTTGGCTCTGTGGCAGTATCAGTCTGCCCCCCTGTGGCTGAATGCTGTACTGACACATCAACAGGTGGCAGGCACAAGTTGAACTCAGTGGTTTTGGTCGCGCTGTCTGCAACAAAGCTGCACTGAGTCGATGCGTCACATGTCTCAGCTGTGGGGTCGACAGTTTGACTTCCTGCATCTCGAGTTTCGTTGGATGTTTTCTTGCATTTGCACGGCTCTGGGCTCTGAGTTTGAGCCAGAGGAAAGTCTAACTGAGCTGTGTTGCTTTCCATCTGTTGGCCATTACATCCTAAGGCTTTATCTGGATGAGCCACATTCTCCATAATCTGATCATCTCTGAAGTTTGTTTTTGGTTTTAGGAGCAGGGAGAGAGGCCTGGGTTGGGTGTGCCTTTGTTTTGTATTCCCCTGTGAGTCCAAGTTTTGTTTTAGGCTCTCTGAACAACAGGTTTGGTTTATATATGAAGAGGCAGCCTGGAGACATGGCTCACAGCGTTCTTCTTCCTAAAATACAGTTAGAAAAGGGTAAGAGAATACTAGATATGTTATAAACTGCTAAATAGAACTATGGTTGTTGGATATCAAGTTCAATAGGTTCAATAATGATCAATAATAATAATGTGTTCATAAATAATGGCTATTTTGAGGTGATTCCGCAGTCATGGTATGACAGCAGCATGGACACAAGTTCTGGGTGTAACTTAACTTACATCATCTGAACTGAGGTAACCTCTACAAGAGTAACTTGGCGAATAGTCACAACCATTCATGGGGCCATTGTTGTGTTCAAGACATGCTGTGGGATTGGAAAAAAAAGAAGCATCTATTCAAATTATTGTCCTTTCTCCAGCATATACACAATACACGGGAAGCTTAATTGGAGATGCTTAAGACACTTACAAAAGTTCATGTCAGTGCAGTTGGAGAGCTGTGAATAAGACAGAATTAACATGTAAAACTGCCCACATCAAGTGCACTCAGGGGCGGATCTATAGTGGTGACAAAAAAAAGGCCTTCCCACCCCACCTGATGTCAAATGCTGTCAAATTTAACAGATTATTTTAGATTCGTTTTACAAATGGGGAAAATGGAAATGAACACATTTTATAGTAAGTGGTTTAAATTCACTGAAACATTATAAAACAATGATTTCTGATGCCACCGTTAGATATTTATTACTTATCACTTGCTTTACTAATGTGACACAGTAATGTAATGTTTTGGAGTTGAAATATTTTTATTTGTAGGATTTTCCAAGCAAATATGTTTTTTAATCAGCCATTTAATGCTTATGTCTATTGTTTCTTTTAATACAACGTTAGCACGGCAGTTACAAACTCTGCCACTTGGTGGCAATAAAAGGCTAACTTTAGACTCACATGTGGTAACTTACCTTCAGTCCCACACCTGGTGAGTCAGGGAAAGTTCTGACAGTAAAGAAAGAACATCCAACATAAAAACAAGGCATATTACATATCAATCATAACAAAGTGTTTAATTATATGTTGTGTATAAACGCCTACTGTGGTGTTGAAGATTTGACTGGTGTTTCATCTTTGAGGTATATCTTTGATTTTCCTCTTCCAAAAGGAGTGGCTGAAATCAAATGTAATGTTAACTTGAGGGGGAAAGTCCTTGTGGTTGTGCAAATGTTATTGTTATTAACGGTATTAACCTTCTCTTTCACATTCCTCAGTACTGAAGCCCCTAAAGACGTCTGCTTCCTCGATCTGCTGCTCAGTTTCTGACTGGTTGAGAGTGAAGTTCAACATGTGCTGCCTGTCGTCTGGTTGGTTGAGAGAGAAGGTGATGTCGTATCTTTCATGGTCCCTGGCCTCTGTGTTACTGTGATAACACACATATGCTTCAAGAGGTCAAAACGTGATCAGTTAATTCAAGGGCAGAGAGCAATCCCTCAGATTCTAGTGTTCTCACTCTGGCTCTGGACTTCTAAACAGGACTCGGGCTGCAGTGGGTGTCTCCAGTTGGTAGATGGGTAGGTTTGATCCACAGGACCAGGGGATACGGTTTGTCATACCTCTGGGCTGGGAGAAAGGCTGATACTAGCAAAATAAATGCAAATAAAATCTGAGTGTAGCATCATATTTGGAAACACATGTTTTAATGTTCAACTCTCCACAGGAGTTCACAGTTAGCGATATTTACTGCTGGTCTGTCTAAGATGCTACTTCTGAGTAGATTCCATTGTTTCCTAGATAAAACAAATGTTACCAATCCACATTGATTGTTCTGTTGCATTAAATGCACTAGAAGGAGTTTTTAACTGGTTTAAAAATCAATTTAAATACTGATGCTGCTGTATGACATACATAAACAAACTGTCAGTTCAGATCAGTGAGAAGAGCTATTGCTATTCTAAATGCCTGCCACCGGGTTGGATTTGGTCAGATTCCCATGAATCAGACAAAACTATCCACACTGTTTGACCGCTGTAGATTTGTTCACATAGTAGGCACCTGTCCGACAGAGGCCTAATAAGCTTGTGCCTGTGTATCAACTGCAACTGTAACTATGACATTATGTGGTCATATGAATGTGAGATATATCTTAAATAATAATAAATAATTCTGTTTTCACCTCCTTGGTCGGCTCCAGGCCCGAGGTGTTCCAGGGTAGAGGGGAGCAGTCGGGAGGGAGCGCTGCCTGTGTCTGGCTTCTCTGCTGGAGATTCAGCTGTAGGGGGAACATTCCTGAGGAGACCAGTTTGATTTGGCCTAAATTGGCTGATTGTATAAAAACATACATACAAAAACTATAAAATGCAAAGTTACCATCGTGTAAATTAATTTATGAGAGTTTGATCCATAAAATACTTCACAACACCTGAGGAAGCTGATGAGGTGGAGGAGAAGGGGCTGAGGGGGTCGGTTATGGGTGGCAGGTAGTCAGATGCACTGTTGTCTGAGAAACCTGACTCCGGCACTGGTGACAGCTAGAGGACAGAGAAGAAAGTGACTTTTTAGCCAGAAGGTCCTAACATTTGTTCATGTTCAAAGATAAGAAATGGTTTAAAAAGCACAATATGGATGGCTGTGACCAACCTGCCGGCACTTGAACCCTTGTGGAATAACGTGCTTTCTCTTTCTTGTTGCTTGAAGACTAGACATTGACACAGAATAGACACAATGAATGTCGGAAGATGTTCGATAACAAAGGTATTCACTGACTTTATATAGCCAAAAATCCCTTTCCGGGCCAGAGGTTCACTTGAATACCATGTTAATGAGTCAGTTTGGTATCTACCAGACCTGGCTGTCAAAATCAAATGTGATCAATAGTCTGATTGTGACTGTAGGCGCCTTTTGACAAACAACACTCCAGCTCTACCTGTTTTGAGTTTGGCTCTCAACAAAACTAAGCTGTGATGGAGAGCAGGGGCTCATGGGAAGTACCAGGGGCTCATTTCTCTTATGCTTAGATCCTCCTTTATAGCTGCCAAGAACTGCCACTTTAGGAGGCTCTGAAAAACACAAACATTGTTTGTTTACATCATTTGCCACAGTGGGGGATTGATGAATCTAGGTATTGGCAGTGTGTGTGATCATATACAGTACAGTATAAGCCAGAGTGTTCATGTTAATATGTGTATAATAGTGTTGTTTAAGGGACTTTCAGTCAGCTTCTTCTGTGTTTGGTAACAATAACTGCTGGCTTGGGATATATCAATACTACCTGTTATGTCTCACCTTTATTTTCTTTCTTAGCAGCAATCTGGTTGACTATGAACAGAGTCACCAGGTCCATACTAGCAGCACTACTGCTTTGAGGGGATGCTGGCACAGTGACTCCCAAGTTCTTCAATCTCTGCTGCATTTTCCTCTTTTCAAAGAACTCCTAGGAGGAACAAAGCAACACCAGAACATCTAGCTGGACGTATTCAATGAAGGCCACATCTATTATAGCTGTGAAGTCGTATTTAGGTGTCTCACTCTCTGCCTTTTTGCATCATTCTTCATCACTAGCCGGCTCCTGCAACGAGAGTCGTTAAAACGTTAATCACCTAGCTTAGCTGACGTTTAGAGGCTAATGTTAATATTAGCACTATTAGCACGTCGATTAACCGATATTGTCCCCTCTCTTACCTTGAACCCCCAACCCAATTCATGTTCAACGGCTGTCACAGTGACAATAACACAGCTACAGCTAACGTGAACTAACTTAGTAAAATCTGTAGCTTCAAATGTGTGAAGAGATGCGCGAGGAACAACCTCTACCCTTTCACGTCTCGCTCAAGAGTTGCTCATAAACGTGTATAAATGCAGTTTAAACATTTGTATAAAAGCTGTCAGTGGTTAAAGTTGATTCCTGAGCAGTGTGTGACATCTTTCTAACCCTACATTACAAAGAAGAAGACCCCAACTGTACGTTACAGGAACCAGCGACGTCTGGGACTCATTTGTTACGTCCGTCACGCAACCTTTCGCCGGGGGCGCAACCAATGAGAACAGCCCCTGCAAAAGCGTAGGGCGGAAATAAAATTGCGTCAAGTTAGCGGAAAGCGGAAACGTCCATCGACCGGAAGTTGGGCGAATTTACTTAAAAAAATAAAAGCACAAACTCGACCGATCGGTTCAGGCTGCGTATCCCCGTGGGCTAAAGGAAGTTGACCTTGAGTTTTTTTTATTTTGACAACCCCAACCGGAAGTACAATGGATGTAGTTGGTCGTGCTTGACGGCCCCCTGGTACCGAACAGAGCAGGATGTAGCGGTACATGTATCGGGCTCGCTTCACATCAATCCAACCATCAGAAGTCCTCCTCTTGTTTTTATCTCGGTTTGGGGGATGGGTGTTGAAAGGATTGTCAGCAGAGACGACTAACGTTTGACAAAATGTCCAACATCCTCGATGCGGCGTCCAAAGTGAAATGGGACCGCACGGCTGCGGCGAAGCGAGCCGTCTTTCTTGCGGCGGCTGCTTACGGTGTCAAAACCCTGTACCCCATCATCTGCAGGCAGCTCAGCAAAAACAAAGATCCCAGGAATAATCGCCGAGTTTCAAAGGCGGAAAACGGCTCCACTTGTTTGGTAAAGACGCGGATAGATGCTGCGGATCATAAGAAGGCATCCCCGGGGGTCAATGCAGAATTTTTCAAGCAGATCCTCGAACTTGGTAAAATCCTCTTCCCGAAGCTTGTGTCCCGGGAGCTCGGGTTGCTCTCCTTGCACTCGGTGGCGCTGATATCCAGGACGTTTCTGTCTATTTATGTGGCCAGCTTGGACGGCAAGATTGTCAAAACGATCGTGGAGAAGAAACCCAAGAGCTTCATTATCCAGCTCATCAAATGGCTCCTCATTGCCATCCCGGCCACGTTCGTCAACAGCGCCATCCGGTACCTGGAGTGCAAACTGGCTCTGGCCTTCCGCACCCGGCTGGTGGACCATGCCTACCGGACCTACTTCACCGACCAGACCTACTACAGAGTCAGCAACATGGACGGGAGGCTCGCCAACCCGGACCAGTCTCTGACCGAGGACGTGATGATGTTTTCCCAGTCGGTCGCCCACCTCTATTCTAACCTCACCAAGCCCATCCTGGACGTGGTGCTGACCTCCTACACGCTGATACAGACCGCCAGATCCAGAGGGGCCAACGCCTCCGGGCCGACCCTGCTGGCCGGGCTGGTGGTCTTTGTCACGGCTAAGGTCCTGCGTGCCTGCTCGCCCAAATTTGGCAAGCTGGTGGCCGAGGAGGCTCATAGGAAAGGCTACCTGCGCTATGTGCACTCCAGGATCATCGCCAATGCTGAGGAGATAGCTTTCTACAGGGGCCACAAGGTATGTGGAGCTGGAGGAGGGCATATGGAGACTATAGAGAGTATTGCATTTACTGTGGCAGGCATGCAGCAATATTACAACACTGTGGTGATCAGTGTAAAGTACATCCACATTAATAGATCATTAATAGACAGTGTGCTGCAGTGTTTCTCAGTATTACATCATCTGAATGTCCATCATAACTTTAATGTCATTCAAGTTTGAACACACCTACAGAACATTCTGTCAATTCCTCCCTTGGCATTTCTACAGGTAAAATCCACTATGAGACATCTTAGATCATCTTGATTAACCACATCCAATAACTATATAACTATATAAATAAGTTTATATAGTGTCATAACATGTGCACATTGTTGTAATCAGGTTGCACACAAACAGGCCAGTTGGTCACTCAAACACTCATGTTCCTCACAGAGATACAGGAAGCACCTGTGGTTCTACGCATTGTAATATACTTTCCCCTGCAGGTGGAGATGCGTCAGCTGCAGAAGTGCTACCGGGCCCTGGCGGACCAGATGAACCTGATCCTGTCCAAGCGTCTCTGGTATATCATGATCGAGCAGTTCCTCATGAAGTACGTGTGGAGCAGCTGCGGGCTCGTCATGGTGGCCGTACCGATCATCACGGCTACCGGCTTCGCTGACAACGGTATGGAGGCCTCAAGGTTGCCCCGAAACCCTTTTTTTTTTGTCTTTGGAAACTCCAAGTTAAACATGTCTTAGGCTGTGTGAGCTATCTTTTTCAGTGTTGTCCCATGGAACATTAGTTTGCTTGATTATATCTGAGAGTATCTGGAGTGTAGTAAAGCTTTTTTTAAATGCCACTGCAACAGTTGTGTTTCATTCTGAGGTTCAACCCCTTTCACATTGCACACACGGATCATTAGCATCTCCAAAACAACAGCTTCTGCTTCCTTCTCAAGCAGGGGCTGATTAGCACGTGTGAAAACGGTAGCTGCCTCCCACATCTCTCTGATGACATTTCAGTTGCATCAAAAGTAAAGCTGCGAACAATGTCCCTTTGTGTGCTGATCAGCTCTACTACTGTGCTACCGCTCCAGTGTCCCTGTTGATATTTAAATAACTCATTTCCATGTCATTCTAATGCTCGCAGGTACAACTCTGGGAATGTGTTGACAACAGACTTACAACAGATACGCAGACTTTCAGTCAGATAACAAAAGCCAAAAGGAAAGTTCTTGCTTAAATAAACATGTCTGCAGTTTTTTTTTAACTCAGTTGTCCTCTCCCCTGTCTTTTGTCTCTCGTTTCGCCCCCTAGAAACAGCAGACGGGCATACGCACGTGATGGTGAGCGAGAGGACAGAGGCTTTCACCACCGCCCGCAACCTCTTGGCCTCAGGAGCCGACGCCATCGAGAGGATCATGTCCTCCTACAAAGAGGTGAGGATGCCACATGCTGAAGTTAATGTTGCCTTGCTGGAGAGCAGTATGTCAGGAGCACTCTTTCTTCAGTTAATACAATGTGAGCGCTCTGCATCTCTGCTTCACAGGCTTGCCTTGCCTCATTGTTTCCCCCAGTTTTTACTTCGAAGTTCAAAATAAAACACTTCTTATAGGAAATCCTCAAACAGAAGTCATAAAAAATAAAGGCTAGTCGTTGCAAATTCACTTTATTTATACATATAGGCTACAAAATAAAGCCATAGTAAGTCATTCACAAAAACCTTGCACAATTTTTTATGATCATGCTGCATCCCCACCACCTACTGATCTCTTTCTCTAATTCAGATTCATAAGTTGACCTTTTGTTATGATGACACCCTACCTTTGAATGTAGCTCTTGTAAAAAGCTATAAAGGGCATGGCCCTCTATTGTGTCTTGATAACTGCATTGCATTTTTCAAGCTGAAATGTCAATCATTCACTGGTTCCTGCTACTTTAATATGAACATTTATTGTTTTGAAGCACTGTAAATTCATCAGCTTTGAGTTGTGGGCTGTTGATCACACAAAACAAGGCATTTGCCCTCAAGAGTTTTTCAGCATTTTTTGACATTTAATTGGCCATGTGATTAACAGATTAATT